CTGTAGAATTTAGTCCAATACTTTTTCTCCAACTAGTGACAGGATCATATGGCCTTTTCCTTTCCTCTGTTAAAATGATGACTTTTGGGGGTAGATCTTCCAATGCTGAATCAACACTGCCATCCCTATAACAAAACCACTTTCTACATCCTGCCAGATCTGACTTCTAATAGTGTGTTTTGTTAAACAAATTTCTATCTATGTTCATACTTTTTTCTTCTATTGTCATTATTCAGTTTTAGTATTAGCACAATGTTGAGTTCCTAAAATGAGGGGCGAAGTGTTCCTTCTTTTTTCTGCTTTAAATGCTTGATATAATTTATCAGTTAAAATGTATATGAGCCTGTTGTCATATAGGTAGGAATATACTAGCTAGGAATATACTTTCTTTAATAGGTGCTATTCAAATTTCATATTTCCTCCAATGTTAGCTTCATTAATTTGTCTTCCAAGGTACTTCTTAGAAGTTGTCAAAATTATTTCAAAACATATTTTTGTAATATGCTCTGTATATCCTTTAAGTTCTGTAAAATCTGTGGTAATGTCTCCTTGATCTTGATAGTGTAATGTTAAATGTGTATAATTGATATTGTGTAATAGGAAGTAAAGATCTAAAGGAGTAAGGGAATTGGGAGGGGTAGGGGAAAGGAAAGAAGGGAAAATCAAAAGCATGGGAAAAGGAAAGAAAAATAATTAAGTAAATGATTAGTCTGGTCTGGTAGCAGAGCCCTGCAATCCTGGCCACTCTCAGGGCTGAGACAGGTGAACTGCAAATTGAAGGCCAGCCTAGGGAATGGACCAAGAGCCTATCTCCAAATGCACAGGGGTTGGGGATGTAGCTCAGGGCAGAGGACAAGGGTTCCATCCCCCTACTGCAAATAAGGACACAATAAAAGTAGATCCTGAAACCTGAAACCATGCATGGAAAGCAGTGGCACAGAACCAAGTAATTGTGAGATTCTGTTCATGATTGATGAAAACCTTTTTTTCTTTTGCATTGTGTACCTCTATTGTGGTCTGAAATTGCTCAATTATAATAAAAATTCATACTGAATATTTACCATGCAATGAAGGAGCCTGATTCTATTATATCAATGAATTTGTTTTCCTTTAAATTTGTATTTGAATTTACTATTAGAATTTTTATTACCATTTACCATTAGAATTTTTTATTCTATCAGTGAATTCTAGCAATGAAGAAATCAAGATTTTCCTGAAGTTTTATTAGTATTTTATTTTGGAGACATGGCCTCATTATTTAGTTCAGCTTGGCCTCAAACTAAAGGGGGTCTCCTGTCTCAACTTTCCAAGTGCTGAGATTACAGGTGTACAGCACCACACTCGGCCTTATTAGTATACTTTCGATACATAATAAATGTGTCCATCATGGGGAACTGGTGCACATACACATCAATGGTGATCCTGTTTACTTCCCCTTCCTCTCCCCTCCCTAATAAGCACTCCTTACTGCCTTCGTTTTCTCCCCTTTCCTCCTGTCTGTCCTCCACTTGTCTCATGCCAATCTCTCTTCCTTCTGCTGACAGAGGCAAAACCTTTTTGACTAGTGATCCTGACCTTTTTTTCTCTCTTCCAGGCATACATCCAGGATGGGGCAGAGGAGAGTAAAATCTATACCTGGGGCTCACACCCTGACAGTTCTGTATGCCTTTTCACCCCCCCCCAAGACAGTGCCCCACACAGTTACATCAGAGGTAGTCACCTGTGACAATCTGACCACTGTCCACCAGAAGCCAGCATCACATCATTTACACACTGGTCTTCCCCATCCACCCTCAGACAGAAAGGAAACTTTGCTCTTCCAGCCCACCCTGGGCCCTGTCCATTTGTGTCTCACCTGCAGGATGGATTTCACCAGGCCTTTTCTATTCATCTGCAGAAGGTTCCCCAGGTAGGGCAGAGGATGTGGGCCTGGTGGGAGGTGGCCATGGGCCTTTGGGTGGCCCCTGAACAGTAGAACCAGAAGACCCATGAGGAGAGCAAGAAGCAAGAGGACACTGAGTTCCATGGTCCTGCCTTTCACCCCTCTGTATCCTGGAGTTGAACCTTTTATCCTCACCCTGTGTCCTCTCCCAGTTGTGCAACTACAACCATGCCCCACCTCCTCTCTTATCTTTATCCAGGAGTGTGATCCTAGAAAACACTTACCAGCCACCTGTAGTTCCTGTTTGGCAGCCCAGTAACCTGATCACTCCCAGCCCTTTAGGCTCTCCTTAGATAATGGCAAGGATACTGTAAAAGAGATGCCAGGGTGTACAAGAGTGTGTGTCTGTGTGCTCAGTGCATGTGTTGTCAATGTTGTGCATCTCTTTAGTTTAGTCTGTCCAGGTCAGCTTGAGGCTGTGTATACTTGTATATTTTTTATGTATGAGGAGCTATTTTATGTTAGTGTGAATGCATTGTTCTACGTTTCCATGTAACATTCTAGGAGTGCTCCTTTGTACATTCTTGCATGTGTGGGAGCAACTGTGTTTTGATCTGCTTTCATGCAGGAAGGTATGTTTGCATTTGAGTAGTGGAGGTGGTAGGGACTTCTGCATCTGCTGGTGAGTCTGCCTGTGCTGACTGCACTTGTGCTGATGTATGTGTGCACCTCCCAGCCAGTCTTTGTAAGGTGTGCAGAAGTCCAATGTCCACCTTTCCAGTGTCCCCTTCACTCTTTTCTGTGACAGCCATAGGTGGGAATGATCTGGTGAGAGGAGAGCCAAGAGATGAGGGACTGCTGAGACCCAGTAGTAGAGGGGAGTGAGTCTTCTTGGTCTCCAATTGCTCTGATTAGTGCTAGGTGTTTCCCACCAGGCCTCTCACCATCTGCACAGTGCAGGAATTCTACAGCACAAACTCTTTCTCTCTCTCTCTCTCTCTCTCTCTCTCTCTCTCTCTCTCTCTCTCGTCTCAGTGTCGCTGTTTCCCTTTTAGACACTGAAGTCCATTGGGTCTTAGTGTGTTTTCTGCTCTAACAGAATACTAGAGGCTTGGTAATTCATAATGAACCAAAATTCATTTGAGAAGAATTTGTCCACATGCTTGAGGAAGTAGAAGGACATATCAAAGGCCATCAATAAGTGTTAACAAACAAGGAATCGGAAAATTCTTAAATCAACTACAGAGGAAGAGGAAGATAAAGAAGAAACTGAAGTGAAATCAGCAGTGGGGACACTACTGAAATTTGCAGAAGTGGTGCAAAGTGCACAGGTATGAAAGGACAAAATTATGGAATATGCTGCCAGTGGAACGCAGCATGAAAGCCACCCAGGCAGCAACCAAAGAATGACAACATCCACAGCTGTACTTTGTTGAGTTAAAAAGATGGAGACAACTTTTGATTACAATGTTCTTTCAAATGATCTTTCCAAAGAAAAGAACTGTCAGCTATCAAGCATCTTCAACCACTAACATTGTTTGCTCCTAATGTATAACCATTAACATCCTCATGGCTCAACAATCCAGGATGACCCAAAGAAGACAAACCTCTTTCTGGTGTATTGTCAGGTCAATAGGAGCTCAAGGTTGCAAAACAATTTCTTTTTTTTTTCATGGTACTGGGGATTGAACTTGGGATCTTGAGGGTGCAAAGCAGGAGGTGGAACCACTGAGCTAAATCCCCAGCCCAACAACAATTTCTATATCATTTAACTCACCTCCTCTGATCACTTAGGCATTGAATCATCCCACATTATCACAAGGAAAAGAAGGTAAGGGAAGCACAGTACAATCAGATATTTTGAGAGACCACATTCATATAAATTATTATAATATAATGATATACCTTCTATTTCAAGTAATTTTTATTGATCTCTTTGTGTGTCTAACTTATAAGTTAAACTTTATTGCACAGTGATATATATATATATATATATGTGAAAAATATGGTATATACAGGGTTCAGTACTCTCCAAAGTTTCAGGATTCCACTGAGTTTCTTGGAATGTACCCCCCCATAGACAAGGAAGAAATACTGTAGATATATTGGGTATAGTGGTACCTTGGTTCAAAAATGCTTTTGTTTGCAAACAATTTAGTTCACAAACAGAAGTGTTTGGCATTTTTTTTTATGTTTGGAAACTGCATCAGGAGATAAACACAATTACGACTAATTTTTTTCCACAGAAAAAGAAGCATGGCCAACTTTTCCAAAATCGTAGAACAAATTAAGTTCATGAATCAAGGTACCAACATAGTTGCACTCTCTTAAGACTGTACTAAGGCAAATAGAGTCAATATGAGCTTTGGAGAGGACATTTACACTTCGAGAAATGGGGTCCAATTTTATTGAGGTCCCCTGAGCTCCAGGCTGGCTCTACACTCACTATGAGCCCTCACCAACAGAGCTCCCGGGAGGAGAAGTCCAGATTTGGCACATAAGAGAATGACAGTTCCCATGTCCATCTGTATTGTTCTCGCCTGCATTTCAAGCTTTTTATTTACTTTTTCTTTTCTACTAGGGATTGAATCCAGGGCCTTCCCAATGAGCTACAACATCAGCATATTTTTATCTCTTCTTTTTTGCATGGTCTTTTTAGGTCACAAAGTTGCCTAGACTGGGCTTGAAGTAGAAATCCTCCTGCCACAGCTTCCCAAAGTGCTGGGAATACCAGTGTGTCCCACCATACCAGCTTTTGACCTCTCCCTTACTTTTTGAACTCTCTCTTTTTAACAACACCTCCCTATCTTTAAAAGCAATGAAGTGAGGTATGTTAGGATATGGGACAGCCTCATTGTTTCCATGTTAAGCAAACTCTTGCTGAACCCAGGACTCTGACCCAGAAAGGTGAGTCATACTCCATTGATCCAAGAGGAGGGGACAGAGAAGCACAATCTTTTGGAGGTGAAACCTGCACTTTTATGACCTTCGAATGGTGATATAACAGACATTCCTGATCTCAGGACCTGGCTCCTGCTCTTCTGGGTCTTCTGACACTGAGAATGGGTCTTCATTTCAGCCTGAGATTTCCTGGTGGACAGGCATGAAGTACTTTACACAGAGTCCTCGCACTTTGAAGGAGATGTTATTATCCTCCCCTTTTCTAGATGTAGAGAGTGAAGCCTGCAGAAGTTGAGAGTCTCACTCAAGGTCACACAGTGGGTAGAGATATATTTGTCTGACTGATAAACATTGGGCACATGTGGCCATGAAACCCTTGTGGTATAACCAATTGGATTTTTTTTGGTTTTGTTTTGCGCTCTGTGTTTTGTGTTTTGTTTCTTTTGTTCCATTTTGTTTTGATACAGGGTTTCACTATGTAATCCAGGCTGGCCTCTAAGTCATGACACTCCTCTCACCTTAGTCTACCAAGTGCTGGGATTATAGATATACACACCATGCCCACCTCAATCAAATTTTTAAATTTAATTTAATTTTATCTTTAAAAGTTGATACTGAATACAGCTATTGGAAAAATTTTATGTAGGGTTTGGAAACAATTTAGGTGTGTTCATTATCTTTTTCAGTGACAAAGTACATAAAAATCTAGGTGCAAATCAAAGATTTCTGAAGAAACTTTAGGGTCCCTATGGTAAATGGGCGATAATTGCAAAAATACACAGCAAATTTCAAATACATGATATTTAAAAGGAAAGATAAAGAGAAAAGGTAAAAAATGTGGAAGAAATAAAAAGAATGGAAGGAAAAAATGGAAACAGGGCTTTATTAGATAGGGAAGAGGTTTGAAGGGTGAGGAACAGAATGTGAAGAAAAGAAGCAGCACAATATGTCCGGTAGAGGTAAAATTCTGTATTATAAATGTTATCATTGTGTATATCTAAAATGTACCCCTAAAATAAGAAGCAAAATTTTTAACCATAATCCCTCTGGAAAAAAAACCCCAAAAGATATTTTAAGAGGCCAAGGCAGAAGCACAAACAGGAAGAAATCAAAGACAAAATTGAAAGATAAATGAGGGAGTATAATTTAGACAGAGGCAGAGAAATAGTACCTAGAGTCCTTGAACGGGAGCCACTCACTCAAAGACATAGGGAGAAGGAGGCCTGTGAGGGCTCAAGTTGCCACCCGACTCCATGCATTTGAGAGACCCATGAGAATCATCCCCACTCAGAAAACCCACCCCATCTTGTCCTGCTGCTAATAACTGATTTTGCCTATATTGGCCTCAATTCTTACCAGGGAGCACAGGGCTCCATGTTCTGGCTGGCCCGAGTTTAAACTTCTCGTGGGGACAATGTCTAGCCCACACCCTCTCCACAACTGTCTCTTGTAGCTGTCTCTTACCCAGTCACTGTGGTAGGATGACACCAGAAACCCTGAAGTAATGTCATTCTGAAGTCACTCAGTCTTAAACAATTAATCCCTTGCCAATATGGCTCTTGACTCAGTCCTCTCAAGTATGGCAATGGTGCCAAGGAGGGCTACACTAGATTTATTCCCTAACTCTAGCCTGCTGCATGGAGGGAGTCACTTTGGGGGTACAACTCCATCCTGTTTGTGCAGTGTATGACAGCCATGAGCATTTCTTAGGACTAGTGCTGCTGGGCCACTCGGTTGTTTCTCCTGTATCTGTTGAACCTGCATACTCACCTTCCCTCTTTTTGGGCACTGACCTTGTGTATGATAAAGTCAGCTGATAGGTAGGTCAGCACCTTTGCTTTCCCATATAAAGGGAAAACAAAATATAGAGCAAGCTTGGAGCTGGCAGGCACCAGGAGATAAGGCACCAAATCCATGGGTTACAAACTTTCACAATCTTAAAACTAGCTGAGTGCTCCTATGGCAGAGGAGGTGAGCCAATCCCAGTGGGGAGGAGGAGGCTCCCCACGGCCATTCCACTGCTCCTAAGTCAGAGCAGGTGAGCCGCACGGACACCAGCAGTACCCCGTGTCCCGTGGAAAGGAGAAGACACATAAACAAGTATCAAAAACAGACTTCCAGATCACCTACAGCAAGCCCAAAGGGAAACAAAATGGAACAATCTGATACTTAACCACATAGACTCCCTGAACTGGCAACAAAAGAGGATCTGGAAAAAATGGAATAAGAAATACTTTCTCAGACAACAGCAAAGATTGTGCCCATAGAGCAAGACATGA